AACGAGAAATTTTCTTATCTCTATTTTTTTTATTTGTGGCTCTTTGGCACACGATATGAGCATTTACTATTGTTGTTCCTTAAGATTAAATGTAGTGCTAATTTCCGATACCACTCGATGCTTTTCCGTATCGTTGTGGCATATGACACCATCTAGTCGCTTCTGTCGATGCCAATTTGTTCCATTGATTGTTATATGCCATTATCGCCAAAGGTTTCTGTTTCGGAGGACGATCGCGATGAGCAGAATCCGAGCTTGAAGTCATAATGCGTGCATGTTTTGTTGATAACATATTCTAACATCGCGAACATCTCTCCATTTTAGCACCACAAATATTTCACCTCTCTTCAATGGGTACGACATTACAAAATTTGGCATAAATTTTTTGTTTTACCAACGACGTGCGACCCCGCGAGAAACTCAACCGAATCGCACTAGGCGACGAAAGTGTTTTAATTGGTTCCCAGAGAGCCGGAGTAATCATCAACGAAGGAAAAATATCTTTTTCGAATGGAAGTAACAAATGGTGCGAAATATATCCTTGAATGTAAAGCATTAGGCGTGTCTAGCCAGAAGTGGCGAATTTTTACAGAGGTTAGTTCTGCCATTAGTCGAAAAAGTTACAAAGAATTATAAAGTAATAGCCGAAATTGGAAAATTAGCCAGCTCGCTAAAACTGACAGTTGAAACCAGTTCTTCATTACCGAAAATAATTTTCAGAAAATTCGATTTTGCTAACGACGTTGATTTCTCGTTTTTGCAGACTGTTCGATTGGAAGCCTGAACGCGCGCCGGGAGAGCCTCTGAGACACGAGAGAGTGGTAATCATAAAGAATCTGTTCTCTCCGGAAGACTTTGACAAGGAAGTCTCGTTACTGTTGGAATATCAACAGGACATCAGATCCGAGTGCTTGAAATGCGGCGACGTCCGAAAAGTTGTTATTTACGACGTAGGTAATCCCCGTTAACGAACGGGGCAGGAATTCTTCATTATAAAATACCTCGAGACGAGTAATAGTATTGAGAACACGTTGCTTGAAACAACGTACTTATTATAGATGAACTTCCCCACTTTGAAGTAGCATAACAAGCGGATAATTAGCGTAATCGCATGGGCAGTTAAAGTAGATGTAACGAAGTAATTAATTAGCAGAACATTACGAAACAGAATACCATTCGCGTGTCTGTTCATAAATTTATATGGGAATGAAAACGTTAATTATCATATTAGAGTTTCTAGATCGCGTGAAAGAAGAAACAAAAAAAATGAAAACGGGGATCAATGTTGTGAAATTTCAACGTATCACTTAAAATTAGCGTGTTGAATTCGTAAATTCGAAATTAATAAATATTGCGCCCTAGGTGCGAAATCTAGGTCAATTGCTGACGCGTATTCCGTGAGTCATCACTGACCTATCGATGATCTTTCCATTTCAGCCCTTTAATACCGCTATTAAGAGTAATAGAATCACGTAATGTCACTCGCAAAGATTTTTTTTCTTTTTTTTTCTTTTTTTTTTTTTGAGTGCACAAGTATTTGAATATTTTAACCTATTTTAACCTAAAATTTTACAATCTCTCTAATGGCCCGCGTAAAGCAGAAACTTCAGGTATGTCCAATAATTGAATAAGAATTTTATTATTTGAATAATATTTTGGCCATGATGAACTTATATCTGCGATATATGAGACTTTTCTCCCCACACGAAGCACACGAAAACTAAAGTAAGAACAAAAATTTTAGACGAGCATCTTGAAAATACTCTTCGCATTACCACTATCTGTATGAAAATTGGTATCTAAGAAAAGCTCAGTGTTCTTGTTAAAAGTTTTCATATTTGTTCCATCAATATAAATATATATTTTCTAATCAATGTATCGTTTCACTATTTTAAAAGTTTCAATGTTTCAATATCCTTTAATATAGCAAATAATATACATTAGATGGAGCTGATAAAAAATTATGTAAACTATGTCGTCGGCAAATTTTTGTGGTCCAGATGATCCAGAAAAGATTGGACAGCCATGATTTATAGGCTATCGAGTATTCTTCAAGCTTCTCGTCGTTCACCTTTATCGATTCCTGACAGACAACACACAAAAGAAAACTACTGTCACAAGTGGTCAAGCCTGATAGAAACACCTGAGAGCCAGGTGAAAATGATCTTGAATGAACAAGCCGTATCTCGGTGTACGAAGCATTTTACCAGATAATAGATTTAAGATCGTATTATTTTCTCTCAATTAATTCCCCAGATGGGTCAGGCTGTTTCAAGCCACCCTAATTATCCTTTGGAGAATTTACCAAAAGGCGAGCGACGTGTCACCCTGTGATTAGTCAATGGTCGAGAGTAGTTACTTTCTCTGAAATCGTTTCCACCGATTACCGAACTAACGCGAACCGTTTCTGAAAGTTCCCTTTTGGTCCCAATTACTGCGCCCGGCAGTTACTCAGATAATCTGCCCTACCACTCGAATCGGCTTTGATCGTCATTCTTTTCCCCGGAAATACGTTCCGTCGCGATCTGAGAAATTATGGAGCAGTCGAAACAGTTGAAACAGCTAAATAAACCATCGCAGCGCTTGGAAGTTTTGTATTTAGAAATTTAGGCAATTCAACTAGGCAGAATTTGGCAATTGGCACCACGTGGCACCAATGGAAGGCAAGTTTCTGACAGGAGAATTTTAGTAACCAGGGAGCGCAACATCTCGAAGAGAAAAAAAAAAAAAAAAAAAAAAAAGGAGGAAAGAAAGAAGGACATCGGTAAGGAAAGAGAAAGAAAAGAGAGGAGGGGGGGGG